CAAAATTTGAATAGATAGAAGCTAATTTGGCTCCGGGTTTCAACAAATAGTTACAAAATTAAACATATAAAAAAACGTAGTTAAAAATTTAGAACAAATAGTTGAAAATTTTGAACAAATATATATAAATTTGAACATATACAATTTTGACAGATAAGATTCAGAGAAAAAATTGAACTAGTAATACAATTTGGACAGATATTTGTACAGATAGACAATAAACTTGAATAGATAAATAAAAATTTAGAACAAATAATAATATTTAGATAGATAGACAAAAAATTAAACCGATAGATAAAAAAAATTGAATAGATAAACAATAGATTTAAACAATTAGAAAATAATTTGAACAGATAGGTATAAATTTGAATAGATAGTTACCAAAAAGTCAAATAGATAATAAATAAAAAAAAGTTAAGAGATAAAATTGGAAACAAAATGTTCTTCAGGGCTTCTCACTAAACTATTTCACAAAGTGTGGATCTCTCACCAATCCAAAAAAAAAAAAAAATCAGACAAAATGCCTTCGACAATTGCTATAGTGATTTTTCACCAATTTTTTCAATTTTAAATCAAAATATTCATGAAAATGGAATTTTTATTTTAAAAGGACACTGCCACCTCATTTTAATTAATTATCCCATATTTAAGATATGGAATCAAAGGTGTTTCCCCAATCTAATATTTAATTAAGTTTCAGAATTTTCTCAAATTTAATAAACTTGACTGTTATGTTCGGGTCACCATGGATCCTATTTCAATAATCTGACTTATTCATTTTGTAGGATTTTCCGTTTATATCATTCTCAGAGAAAATTATATTGATCTGATAATTATAACATTTTCATTTTATTGTGTTTGTCTACAAAAAAATGGATCGTCGATTTTTAAATCCATATTTATTGTTGTTTTTTCTTTTGAAAACAAATGCAATAAAATGAAATATTAAAATTATTGAATAAATCTAATTTTTTTAAATAAATAATATACATGAAAGATTTTATAAAAGATCATCTTTATAGCCATTTCACTAAACTACTTGTAAATTTGGTGACTATTGTGAGCTTGAGCATGACCATGAGAGCTGAGCAGTTGGTTTTCAAAATCTTTTTTTATTAAATATTAAAAATAAAATACATTAAAAAAAATAACTCATCTTTTTTACATGATTTTCTCATTTATGGAAGAAAATATATTTTTGGCATTCAATTTAGTCAAATTAATTTGGGAGAATTGCAAAAAAATGGTCTCAACACAAAATAATTGTAATGTCATGAAACCACAAATAATTTATGCATTAGATTGTGCAGCTAAACCTTATACTTCCATATCTTTGCAATGATTTTAAATTTATACATTTTTTGGCAATTGTCCCAATTAATTTCTATTTTTAAAAATTAAAAAGTAAATTTTAAAAATTAAACCAAATAAAGTGTGAGATTTCTCTATTAAATCAAGAGTCTTACTATTTACCCCTACCATTTTTCTTTAAACCCCTACCTACTTTGAGTCTCTCTTATTTTCTCTTTGGGAGCTTCTATTTGCACATCTTCATTCCCCTCTTTACACACACTTAATGAAAATTATTTTATTATAATTTTATTTTTAAGTGAAATTACTATTATGGACATCAAATAAACACATTCAGAAGTTGAATATCGAAAAAATAAAAAAAAAATCAAAATTCTACTTCCGAACAAGTTGTTTATTTTCGAAATGCTACTTCTGAACCAATTGTTTATTTTCAAAATGCTACTTCCGAATCAATTATTTATTAAAAAAGATATGTATATAATGTAATGGGTGTGTGCAAATAAAAGTTCGGGAGCTTCTATATACACACACCCTTTCCTCTTTATACAAATCCTTCTCAATACACACACTAAAAAAATAAATCCTAATATATTTGACTCACTACACACCTATCATTCCACATATACCCCCAAATATAAATCATACACACACACACCCCCTCTCACACACACACCCGTGACAGACCCCTCCAACACACACCCATCTGAGAACCCCTCTCACACACACACCCATCTCTCACAGTCTCCACCGTTCCTCCCCAAAAGCTTCATCCATCCATTTGTGTCATTGAAGGGCATTGAAGAGCATTGAAATTTTCACAATTGAAGTTAGTTTACATAGATTAGAATCTTCTCATTCCTATTTTATTTGTAATGTAGGGTTAATTTTTACCATTTTCCGTCCACCATTGTAAGTGATTGCCGTGTTTCCTCATTCGGAACTGGTTATTCGAATTTTTTGTTTTTGTTCGGCAATCTAGTTTCAAAAACAAAAATAATATTCGGCATTAGAGTTCCGAATTTTCTGCTTCTATTCGGCACTATAGTTCCGAAAATATTTACTTGGTTCGGCTTTCAAGTGCCGAAAATAATTTTTTTTTTTTTCAGTCAACTTCCGAATAGTAGCCTGTAGGCATCAAGGTAAGGGACCGAGATTATATACTGCTTCAGAAGCGGAATCGAAGGGGTTGGTTGAAAGGTAAGGATAGCGTGATTGGCCGATTGGTTGGAAGGTAAGGATAGCATGATTGACTGGTTGCGGGTCCCATGGGCCACAGCTACTTGGGTTTAGACCGCTGAACATAATTTGGACGGGCCGAGGCTATATGGGCTCGGATCCTTTTCATGATTTCATGTGAGGAGCCACCTTTGACGGGCTTTGAATTTGGACAGATCCAGCGGGCCTTCTTGCATGGACTTGGGCTTGCTTTGATGATGGGTAGGGCTCTTGTTGTGCTTTGGCCCTTCTGTGGGCTTTCATCGAGGAAAGCAGGCTTGACAGGCCCGAGTCTTCATTTGTAGTACTTTGTTGGAGGGGCCCGTGCATGTAGGCTTGGGTCTTATTACCATGCGTCATTTGACGACTCAGTGCATGGATGTCACGAGTCCATTGGCATAGGCTTAGGCCTATTTCGTAAGTGAGCAGTCTTTGGCAGGCCTGGAGATTTAGTTAAGGGGAGTAGAGGTCTAAAGCCCATGTTACGCGGGTCGTGCACACTTCATTGGCACCGGGCCCGTTTCGTGAGGGCCACGCCCATATGCGTAAGGCCCATTTTTTCTTCATTTTTTTCTTTGCTTCCACAGAAGAGAACACATCAGGTTTGGCCTTTGAACGCCATGCTAACACCATGCTTAGCAAACCATGCTAGGACCGATCTTAAAACATCACTCCTAGGGTGGGTCCGGTCATCTTAGTCATCCTTTGACTGCCATCTTAGTCTAGCCTCCAATATACTCATACCTCTCTGTTCAAGAGGTCCTTCGTGTATGACCTGTGTGTACATCCGAAGTGTAAAACTGGGATGTATTCACTCTCTCTATCTGACACTTCGAAGGAGGGTGTCTAGGGAGAGCTGCTGGTCATGTCATTCTATGGTCTCTTTGGCCTTACCAGGTTCTCTATCAGTTCTGCCAGACTAGATGGTTTGATTGTCTGTCAGCCTTGATTAGAGGGGCCTGGGGCAGTGACTCGCTTCAGGTCTTGGTGTTTTCACAGTGGAATATTTTAAGATCAAATGTGATCTGTTCCATGTGAACCACCATGCGTGGTGCCTCATCATATTATTGATATTTTATTTGATGAGACAGCCTTCGATCAGATGTATGGGGGGTCCCTAGATCGGTGGGTCAGCACATTGACGAAGCTGGACCTAGTTCTGCTGGACCTAGTTCTGCTGGACCTAGTTCTGCTGGACCTAGTTCTGCTGGACCTAGTTCTGCTGGACCTAGTTCTGCTGGACCTAGTTCTGCTGGACCTAGTTCTGCTGGACCTAGTTCTGCTGGACCTAGTTCTGCTGGACCTAGTTCTGCTGGACCTAGTTCTGCTGGACCTAGTTCTGCTGGACCTAGTTCTGCTGGACCTAGTTCTGCTGGACCTAGTTCTGCTGGACCTAGTTCTGCTGGACCTAGTTCTGCTGGACCTAGTTCTGCTGGACCTAGTTCTGCTGGACCTAGTTCTGCTGGACCTAGTTCTGCTGGACCTAGTTCTGCTGGACCTAGTTCTGCTGGACCTAGTTCTGCTGGACCTAGTTCTGCTGGACCTAGTTCTGCTGGACCTAGTTCTGCTGGACCTAGTTCTGCTGGACCTAGTTCTGCTGGACCTAGTTCTGCTGGACCTAGTTCTGCTGGACCTAGTTCTGCTGGACCTAGTTCTGCTGGACCTAGTTCTGCTGGACCTAGTTCTGCTGGACCTAGTTCTGCTGGACCTAGTTCTGCTGGACCTAGTTCTGCTGGACCTAGTTCTGCTGGACCTAGTTCTGCTGGACCTAGTTCTGCTGGACCTAGTTCTGCTGGACCTAGTTCTGCTGGACCTAGTTCTGCTGGACCTAGTTCTGCTGGACCTAGTTCTGCTGGACCTAGTTCTGCTGGACCTAGTTCTGCTGGACCTAGTTCTGCTGGACCTAGTTCTGCTGGACCTAGTTCTGCTGGACCTAGTTCTGCTGGACCTAGTTCTGCTGGACCTAGTTCTGCTGGACCTAGTTCTGCTGGACCTAGTTCTGCTGGACCTAGTTCTGCTGGACCTAGTTCTGCTGGACCTAGTTCTGCTGGACCTAGTTCTGCTGGAGGTCGCTTTCCATCTTCGACGTTGACATACAGTCGTAGGCCTCAGCGTAGGCGTATAGCTGATTCGTGACATGTTATGTTGTTACATGTTATTTTGTTAGTTGATGAATATTTTTTGGTGTTTTTTGTAAGATGACATTGTTGTAATGGTAACAGTGGTTAATATTTTCTTATTAGAATGGAATGGCAACAATGGTATTGTAATGACATTGTAATGACATTTTATTATTAGAATGGAATGGTAACAATGGTCGTTGATTTTGTAAATGATATTTTCTTATTACAATGGAATGGTAACCATGGTCGATAACATTCAATCCACATTGCAAAACATAACACATCAACATCAAAAACACATCCATTAATTTCTTCCATAATTGTAACATTGTCAAATGCATACATGTGTCATGCGACATCAACAGCATCAAAAGTCTCTCGAGTAACTACATTATCATGAATAATGTCCTTGAAATGTTGAATGCGACGCACATATGCATCATCCCAGTCCACAGCGCAAGGGTGACGGTATTTTCTCCAATTAGTGGCAATAGGAGGAACTGGATGGCCTGGCTGCAACAAAACCTGCACCAAATATCAATTGACTTAGTGGTCATACCTCATAACTTCTTGTACATGCATAAACGCAATTGATAAGTTTCTGTTATACCTGCACGAAATGATTTCCGTTGACAAACCCAATGGCAATCTCACGTCTATCAAGTTGAGGTACTGGCACGGTTCTAAGAGGTAAAAAGGTGAGACATTGCTGTAAAGACAAGTGGTATAACACAAGATTGTAGCACAATGCAACAAGATGCCCCATGTCTGGCATAGTCATCCAATTTGAGTATCCAGGACTGTCTTCAAAGTATGACAATATGCTTGTCAATTCTTCAAACCTTTCATAGGACCCATAAAGTGTAATGTATTCCTCTTTGTGTGTGTGCAGCTCACCCAATAGGTCACGCCTAACCTGAGCCCTCATATCAAAAGGACAACCACACTTCTTCATACCGGTTATTCTTAATGTATTGTTGCCATCATGTTTTAATTTCTTTGTTGCTCTATATTGGCCACTCCTCTCACAAGCAAGATACATCCTAGGTCTTTTTTTCCCTCCACCATAGTCTGATGTTTTGATTACAATGACCAAACCATTTCTCTTTCCAACTTCACGTACCCAGTTGAGCAATTCATCCTTACTTTTGAATACCTACAAAGTTAAATAAATATTATCAAACATTTACATTTGGTGAGCAATTCAAAACATAATCGTTATAATTTCGTAGACTGAACTTGTTCAGTTGTGAAATGAGTGGTGTAATCTAACACAAAAGCAGCGCAAACCTGACTTCCTTGAGTTGACACATATTCCTGCATATTTTGTATAACATTACAAATTTTTAATGGCATTATAAAGATTAATTTGCAATTTGAAACTGTAAATTTGATATGCAGTTTGCAAATTTGGAATATAAAATGGAAAAAAAAAAAATTTACTTCATTCGGAAGTAGTTGTCCGAATTTTTTTTCAAATTTTGGAAGTTGAATGTTGTACAAGTTAACTTTGTTCGGACAACAACTTCCGAATTTGAATACATTTTTTGGACAACAACTTCCGAAAATACATAATTATTTCGGTAGTACATTTCCGAACAAAATAATAAAATTCGACTCTGGTTATCCGAACGACGTTGCGAAAAAAAAAAAATTAAACTCACATTTCCTTCGCTCTACTTCACATGAATACTTATTTGCTGATTTTCAGAAGACAAATCCTCCATCACAAATAAGTAATGAAGAATGAGGAAGGAAGAATGAGGAAGACAGCTTGTGGAAGGTGAAAACCCTACAGAAATGCCAAAGCCATTTTCAAAGAAGCATGCCAAACCAGTGGCTTACACACACGATGCAACAATGTGAACTCTGAGATGTGCATTGAGATGTTTTCAATTAACAATCTAAAATGGTAATTTCACTTAAGGATAAAATTATAATAAAATTAAATATCATTAAGTGTGTATATTGAGGGGATTAGGTGTGTGTATAGAAGCTCCCTCCCTTTCTAACACACACACACACACACACCCCCCCCCCCAAAAAAAATTATACCCCTCTTCTTTGACCCTCATCATCGGTGACCTTTCTTTTCCATTGCAAACCCCACCAATACCAGCAACCATAGCTCTACCTCATTCACCCACCATAACTCCAATCACCATGCTCCGACAAGTAACCGCATCTCCTTCTTCAACCTCTCCACCGCACCGCCAGCCTTAACCCATCCCCAACCACCACTATCACTGCCCATCACCATCTCCACCCGACATCATCTCTCTCTCTCACTCTTCACTGCGATCGCAGCGACGACTAAAGTAGAGATCGCGATTACAACGGCGACAACTAGAATGGAGATCGTGATCGAAATGATAGTAGCCAGGGTCGTCTTTCGCCTCTCTTTTCCACGATCGCAGAAGGCACCAATGGCTAGGGTTGCTATCGAAGAAGGGAGAGGCGACTATGGTTTTGCAATGGAATGGAATTTTATGTTTGGATAAAATTGAAATTAAAAAAAAAAAAATGAAAGAGAGAAGGGTCCTAAGAGTAAATAGCAACACTTTAAATTACACCAAATAACCATTGTATACCCAAAAAGGGAATGCACATCATAACATTTTTCAAAATTTTTAAGATAATTCTATTCTCACACCATATAAAATCTCACTATATACTATTTCTATTGTTTGGATATGTATGGCATGTATTGATATTTTCTAGAGCGCACGAATAAAATTTGTCAAATTTTTATGAGGGGTCCATTTGCAAATTAGTTATTTTAGGTATTTTTTTATTTTTGTACAAAATTATGTGTAAATGTGTGATAATTTGTAATGATTTTTTACTAAAAATCTAAATTAATTAAACATGTGAATTGAGAAGAGCTTACATGTAGAAATAAAATTAATTTCTATAAGATTATGTTTGATTAAAGAATTTAAGAAAAAATTTGAAAAGAAGAAAAAAAAAATTTAATTACCTAAAAGTCTTATATACAAATGTTATGGTAGCTCAAATCCTATCTAAAATTTTTTGAACCAATAAGTCTTATTTAGTAAAATCGAAAATACTATCAGTTTTTTTCAATTTTTAAAACTAAGAACATTATCAATTTTGTATAGTAATATTGTAGATAATTATTTCACTAATTGATAAAAAAACAGAGCATGAGATGATTTTGCCTTTCTACTTATTGGTTTGATTCAACAATCCAATAAAATCGAGAATATTATCAATTTTTTCGGTTTAAAAATTGAGAACATTCTCAATTTTTTCATTTTAATTTTTTTTTTCAATTTTGCACATCAATATTGTACAAAAAAAATAATTCATTTTTTTCAAAAAAAATATTAGTAGTTTTTTTTTCACATAATTTTTTTTTAATTTTTTCAATTTGAAAGTTGATATTTTAAAATTTTAAAAATCAAAATAAATGTGAAATGATCATATTCTTTTATAGATAATCATAAATGATGAACAATTATTATTTGAAGGACAATTCTGAATATTAAAAATGTAATAGGCCTTACAGGTCTAAAAAAATCCTAATTAAAACTTAATAGAATAAAAGTTGGTAAATTAAAATTTGTGTGTAAATGCCAAAAAAAAATTATATGAAAATAAGTAAAATATAAACATAGTGTATACACCTTTTGCTGAGTTTTTTTTTTTTTAATATTCTAAAAAAAATAATTAGAAAATTGACTCATTTTTTAAATTATTTGGAAAACTAACTTATTTTTTAAAATTACATTTTAAAAATGTGATTTGAAATTGAAATTACATATTTAACATGCAATTTTATCTTAAAATCGAATGTCGAAAATGTAACTTCAAAAACTGAAGTTTATGTCATTATAAATTATATTTTTAACATGTACATGTTAAAAATATAATTTTAATTTAAAATTACATTTTTTAAATGTGATTTTAAAATGTAGATTAATTTCTCAAATAATTTAAAAAATAGATGAATTCTCTAAATTGTTTTTTTTATAGAATATTTTTTTGAAAAAAAAAAACTCCAAAAACAGCTTAGGTCTTTAATTTTCCATAGAGACGTATATCTCATGTGTATAATTCCGAACTAACAAGCGTAGCATAGTGTGCTTGCTCCTAGCTGATCGTTCAATTCGAAGATAAGTAGTTGTTTTTTTGGTCATTTCTTTCTTCTACAGTTTCCCTGAATCTGTTCCAGAAGAGAAGAGAAAGCAAGGAGAGAGGGACGCTTCTGTTCTTCAGTAAGTAATAAATAATTCTCTTCAAACTTTTTTTTTTTTTTTTTTCCTGTTTTGGATTTCTGTAATATGTGTTCCCCTTTTTGTTATATAGATTTGGTTTACTCATGTTTATGGTAACACATCAATCAATGTCTTCTCTGTTTTGCGTGGTGTGGTGTATTGCTAACATACATCAAACCATGGAAAAATAAAAACCCTAGATTGTTAGTGCTAGTCACTAATCACCATTGCAAGTTTCAACTTTCAATTTTTTCTATTTGTTATTTTAATTGTTACTTACCCTAATAACAAACAAGTAATAATTAATTAGGGTTCTTTTTTTGCTCTGTTCCGCTAAACCCTAATTGTATTTTATCTTTTTCTTTTTTTAAATGTAGGGTTTCTGAGTGTTTTGATTTGAGATTCAGAGATGGCACATCTGGGTGGTGGTGCTGAGGCACACGCCCGGTTCAAGCAGTATGAATATCGAGCCAACTCGAGTCTTGTCTTGACTACAGACTCTCGCCCCCGTGACACCCATGAGCCCACCGGCGAGCCTGAGACCCTCTTTGGGAAGATAGACCCCAAAACCTTTGGTGATCGTGCTTACAGGGGCAGACCCCCCGAGTTAGATGAGAAACTCAAGAAATCAAAGAAGAAAAAGGAACGGGAACCACTTACTTCTGAGCCGATGCCTACCAGGCAGAGCAAGAAAAGGCGCTTGCAAGAAGAAGAAAGCGTCCTGACTTCTACTGATGAAGGGGTTTACCAGCCAAAGACTAAGGAAACTAGGGCAGCATACGAGGCCATGCTCAGTGTCATCCAACAGCAGTTGGGTGGGCAGCCACTGAATATAGTTAGTGGTGCAGCCGATGAGATATTGTCTGTCCTCAAGAATGAGGCTGTTAAAAACCCCGACAAGAAGAAGGAGATTGAGAAACTATTGAACCCTATACCAAATCATATATTTGATCAGCTGGTTTCCATCGGGAAGCTTATCAATGATTACCACGATGGGGGTGATGCAGGTGGTTCCACTGCAGCTGCTAATGGCGGCGATGATGCTCTCGATGATGATGTGGGTGTTGCTGTTGAGTTTGAAGAGAATGAAGAGGAGGAAGAAGAGAGTGATCTTGATATGGTGCAAGAGGATGAAGAAGATGACGATGATGTGATGGAAGGGCATGGTTCTGGAGCAATGCAGATGGGTGGTGGGATTGACGATGATGACACACAGGAAGCTAATGAGAGCATGACCCTTAATGTTCAAGATATTGATGCATATTGGCTTCAGAGGAAGATTTCTCAGGCATATGAGCAACAGATTGATCCACAGCAGAGCCAAAAGCTTGCAGAAGAGGTACTTAAAATTCTAGCTGAAGGTGATGATCGTGAAGTTGAAACTAAGTTGTTGGTGCATCTCCAGTTTGATAAGTTCAGCCTCATTAAGCATCTGTTGCGGAATAGACTGAAGATTGTATGGTGTACCCGTCTGGCTAGAGCTGAAGACGAGGAGAAGAGGAAGAAAATTGAAGAAGAAATGCTGGGGTCGGGGCCAGAATTGGCTGCAATTTTGGAGCAGTTGCATGCCACAAGGGCAACTGCAAAAGAGAGGCAAAAGAACTTGGACAATTATCAAGCGATTGTGTTGACGGTTCTTTTGCCTCAACGAAGAGGACTTCAAAATTACCAAAGTGTAGAGAAAAGAAAAATTAAAAGAAGAATGAGGGACGGAGAAGGACGATTGAGTGAACAATCAAAGTAATAATTACTTATCTCTACTTCTATGCTTCGAAAAGGAATTGCATAAAATGCTTCGAAATGGAAATGTTGAAAATAAATGCTTCGAAATATAAACATATGTTAAACTACTCCTAAGATAAGGAAAATGACAAGAAATATTGAAAT